ACAGCCGCCCAAGAAGCCTTCGAGGCCAAGGTCAGTGATTTCACCACGGGGATCAACGCCCTTGGCGCTACAGACCCAGATGCAGCAACCAAGCTCGCCGATCCTGCCTTCAAGGAAGAGGCGAAGGTCATCCGCAAAGCTTTCAAGGCCGCCCTGCGAGCGATGAAGAGCGAGCCGCTGGAAGAGAGCCAGAGCCACCACGTGGATGCAGAGACGGAGTTCCTTGAAGAAAGGCCCGCCAAGAGCAGGAAGACTCGCAGCCTCCGGATGCGGACACGGAGATCCATGAGGAAAGGCCCGCCAAGAGCAAGAAGCCGCGCGCGGCTGCGGAGCCCAAGCCAGAGGTCTCCAAGGCGGCCAAGCGGCGCAGGAGTGAGGCGTGAATCCATTTCACTGGGGGCCCTGAGCATGTAGTTGGGCGCCGCGAGCGTAAGCCTCGCCGCCCACACGACGCGCGAAAGGGCGCCATTTTGCAGTTTCAAATAGTTGCACATGCTTTCACGCGAAACTCTTTGCTGCTTTTGCTGCCCACTCCGCTTGTCCTTGGGCGGTCGCATGCATCCATGAGTCTCACGTGCGATCGCTGCCTTGCATGACCTTTTGGCCGTGCTCAGGCATGCGGCGTCGCGGCGTTGCGAGCCGCGGTGGCCGTGACGGATTTGATTCGTTCGGCAGGCCTGCTCCCTTGGCTGGATATGGGCTTTGGGTCTTGGGTGGGGAGCACGCATGATCGCTTACTGCCATAAGGCAGAATTATCCCTGTGGTAACTTTTCTGACCGAGGGCGCCGCCGCCTGCAGGACCATGCCGTGGCGGGCGTGAACTTCGGCAATCAAGAAGTCGAGGTACTTCTTGCCACGGTTGGGATCCGCCAGCAGCTGCGCCTTCTCGTTCGCGGACTGGACCGGAACGTCTTTCAGTTTGTCTGCGAACGTCCCCGGGATGGTGAGCGAGGCCATCGTTAGCACCCAAGCGAAATCGACGTAGAGAGCGGACCCCACGCCCAGGCAGCGCGCGAACTTGTGCCAGGTCTCCCGCACATTGTTCGACAGGCGGAACATAGCCTCCACGGCCTCCCGCAGCTTGGCGCTGCTCCGCTCCAGGTTCGGGTAGTCGTTGGAGTTCAGCGTTTCCGCCGCCTCCTGGAGCTTGAGGTCGATCCACAGCCTTTCCCACTCTGCTGCGAATTTGGGGTGGAGAATCTCCTGCTGAAGCCCGTCCCGGATCACCGCGTTGAGGTTGAGGAGGGCGCCCCCAAGCTCGGACAGCCCCACGCCGGGGCGATTCACAAGCTCCGAGGTCTGGTACGACACCCCGGTGGCCCAGGACTCCGCGCTCAGCGTCATCTGAGGCCGCTTCAAGCACTCCCACATGGCGGAGCTGACGCCGTTCTTGATGGTTTCCTTGCCGGGGTAGGCGCACAGCGCTTCCTGCGAGACATGGAGGATCATGTTCGGGTAGAGCTTGTTGCCGACTTTGAATCCGCGCCCTCCCTGGTAGCCGGGCTTGTTTCCGGCGGCCTTCTTTTGCGGGAGCACAAACGCGGACATGGCGAAGGAGGTCGAGAGAAAGGCTGTTCGAAGGTGGTTCGACTGCAAGAAGCTGCGGCCGGGTCTGCGGCTGCAGTCAACAACATGCGAGCAACACAGCACGCTGCCACGCAGACCTGCAGGGAAGTGAGCGCATGTGACAGTCATGGGCGCAGGCGACCGCCCAAGTTAAATGGAAGAGTCCAGTTAGAACAGTGAAGCACATGCCCGTGTCTGGCTGCAAGCATCAAGATGGGTGCAAAGCTCTTGGAAGGTCGAAGGACTTTCGCATGACAGCATGCGTCGCGATTGTTTGTGAGACTGCAGTCTGGCGCCCTGTCGCGCGTCGTGCGGGCGGCGAGGCTTACGCTCGCTGCGCCCAACGACACGCCCAGGGCAGAGGAGATAGATTCGACAGCCGAGCCCGCAGACATGGACAACTTCGTTGTCAGACAAGAAGCTACGTGGCCAGGAGATTGTATTTTCCTCCCAGGTTTCCGGTAGCGCCGTTTCACGCTTCCGAGCGGCGCGGCAGAAAATGCCACGGCTGAATGTTGCCAACGCACAAGAAATGGCAGCGCTGGCGAAAGCGTGAAACCGCAGAGTAGCCCCAGCCAGGCGGGGCAAAGTGCTCGAACACCAGGATGCCAGCTGAGGCAAAGGACCCTTGAAGAGGAGCAGTAACGGCTGGTGCGTGTAAGGACCCTAGATATGAGCATCTTCTCAACAGGGCTTCATGTGCCCACTGGAAAGCTGCCAGTTCGTGAATGGGGATTTCGTTAGGCCGTGCGACGACGCGCCTCGACAGTGACGGCTGTTGGAGCGCGGTGTCGGAAGTTCGCCACGGACGACTTCTACTGGCAGTCCGAACACCTCGTAACGAAGCTCGCGGCAGCTCTGCGCGGTGGCCATGTGGTGCGTGACTATTCCCACGTGATTTGGACACGAGGTCCAGTTTTTTGCCCGTCCAGCGCCCAACCTTTTGGCAAGGATGTTGTGTCTGTTGCGTTGCATAGTTGTGCGTCTGCGAGAGGTACAAGCCTAAGGCTCCTCAGTTGATGGCAATCGCTGGCAGAGTGTCGTTGCCAGGCTTCGGAGCCTTGCCAGCTCCTCCTAGAGGCTTGCGGGTTCGGGCGACCGGACGGGAGATGTGGGAGCTGGGGAAGTCAATTCGACTCGCTCCAGGCCGAGGCGGCAATCGGCGGTGAGCGCTTTGGGAGGCCGAGAGCGCTGCCCCCGGCCCCGCGGCAAGCGGAGACTTTGAGCCGGAATTGGGGAAGGAAGGAAGTTGGAGTTGGGGGAAGTTCGCAAAGGAGGGGCAAACTCCTGGCGCTTTCCAAGGCACGGGAGGGCTTTGGCGGTGATGAAGCCGGCGCGGCGCGCAGCCTGGTGAAGGCCTTGCTCGGACAGACGGGACATGGCTCGCGCGTGCGTCCCAGACGTCCCACAGCCCAAAGCGATGCAAACCGAGCGTACGAAGGACTCGTTCAATGAAAGTTGAACCTTTTTGTGTCAGACCCAAAACTCGAACCCTATTGTCACCACCGGCCTTTTGCAGGAGCATGCTCGCGAATGTCTTGGCCATGCCCAAAGACAACGATTGTCTTTATCACGGCCTGGCACACTTTGCAAGCGGAACGGCAGACACCATGAGAAAGGCGCGAGGAGACCCTGAAGAGGTATTGGCAGCTCACGGACGATGATGCCCTTCGTGGAGAACCAGTCCGCGCAGGCTGGAGGGGTACAAAGGGGAACGTTCCACGCGTGTCAAGGAGAGTTTCGAACCTTATCCCCGCAGGGTGTCTGGGGCGGATCTTGCGAAGTTTGGCATGTGTTCAATCCATGTTCAGCTTGGAAACTTTCGGTGGATAGGCGTTGCTTCAGAAATTGAGTTTTCGGCAAGCATTTGCGTCCATACTCGCCAGCTGTTGCATTCTCTCTAGCGCGCAACTGCTTGCAATGTGCCGAAAGAGCGCGCAATGTATGTATTTATGTATGTATGTATGTATGTATGTATGTATGTATGTATGTATGTATGTGTGTATGTGTGTATGTATGTATGTATGTATGTGGTCCCTAGCACAATTTTGGTATAGGGGTTGCTGTCCAGTTAGTCGGTTTTAAGAACATGGCTAGAAATTCCATAGAAGCTACAAAGGAAACGCAAGCTTGTTGTTTGTCCAGGTTACTGCTTAAAATTCTTCTACTAGGCAGACGGTCAATGGGAATTAAGTAGAAGAACCTGGGACCGGAATTCATTTACAGGTGGGTTTTGCTTAGAACGCAGCTCGGGTTGAAGTTAACTGTTCAATCAAAACGCGCTATTGTCTTCTAGTTGCCCGCGCCTTCAACGGAAAAGCTGAACAACACACTAAGCTTGATAAAGCACAGAAACAGAAACCTTGAGAACAAGAAAAACCCTTCTTGAGACAAAAACAAACCGTAATAAATTAAGAAGCCGCAAAAGCCGCACAGCTGTTCCCAGGACTCTTTTAACATGAGTTGCTTTCCAAAATGTTTCCCAACATTTTTCTTTGGTGCTTTCGAGGTTGTTGTTTTCGCTGGTGTGTTTTGGTTTTGCTTGGGCTTGTCAAGATGTTTTTTGTGCATTGGTTGGAGCCTGGGTACCTACGGGACAACTGCAACCCTCAAAACGCGCAAAAGAGCAGCGCCCTAAACCCACCTTAAACTAAAACACCAACTCTGAAACAGAGGTTTTCAACCAGCTTGGTTTAGGGTGGGGTGGTTTTAGTTTTGGTATGGGGTTGCTCAGTTCGCTTGGGGTTGGCGAGGCAGGCTCACGGTTGGTTTAGGGCGGGTTTAGTTGTGGTTTGCGCCGGGGTTAGTATCGGGTTTAACCTAGGCTTTGTTAAGGCCGCAGTTTGAAATTTAGAGTTTTGGGTTCAGCGCAAGTTGCTCAGGGTCAATTAAATTTGCAGCTGAGCTTTGAAGCGAGGTTTTGGCAGATCCAGGCCTTTGCAAGACCTTCGGGTTCGGTCACAGAAACTGGTCAAAACTGACGGGGATCAAATTTGGGCCGGTCACTGCAGTGTCAGGCAACGCAGGGCACGATCCGAACACTTAAACAGCAATGCGATCCATCGCCCACTACTCAACGCAGGCAAGTAGGAATTACAGTTATCAAGGCAATGCAGCGAATAGACAATGCAGGCCACGCAGACAATGTATGATGCCATTGTGCAGTGAACATGACAGACTACCCAGACGGGCTTTGAGCTGTCTTTTGCTTATTGTATTGTAATATTGGTTCTGTAGAGTCCCTGCAATACGGCGGGAAAAAACAGATAAAAAAAAACACGGGTTTGGTATTGGTTCAGAATTGGCACAACTCCATTTTGTCATTGTGGATTTTAGGGTTTCGGCAAAACACATTTTACCACGGGGAGCTTTGTTTCAAGTGTGAAAGGCTTGCACGGGCTCTAACTAATATCCGCAAGGGACCGACTCCAAGGTCAGCTTGCTGAACGGATTCCGGGATCTCACCCTCATGGGCGTGCAGGCCACCAATTCAATTCAAACATCACCCTTGTGGCATAGGACGTAGTCGGCTTGGGCCATGAGAGAGGGACTTCTGCGGTTTCTGGCAATGTCGTCCTTTGTCACCTCCTGCTTCTCTGGCAGGCTTTTGACTTCAATCACATGAACAACGTCCTCATCTCTCGAGATTGCAGGAAATGTCGCCTCATTGACATCGACGGCAACAGCAAGGGGTCGATTCAGCCTCCAGGCTGCCACGGTGATGTTGGCGCAGTAAACCTTCGCTCCGGTGTCTTCGCGCTTTCTGTCTTGCTTTTCTTTGTTGGGTGCGTGCGTCGTTTCGTCTCCGGAAACCGATCGATCAAGAGTGCCAACGCAGTCCGAGGTTCCCCTCCACCTACATTCAAGGATCAGACAGGGAGGCCTGGGCTTTGGCTTTGTACTTCGCGTGATGGTCCCAAAGACGCGTTCGGAAGGAGCTGGCCAAGCCGGCCTTGGATGTGGACCTTTCCTTGCTGCTGCCTGTGGTGGTGCAGCAGCTCATTTGCGGCAAAGGCATTGGAGTTTGCAAATCCTTCACCATTCGGACGTTCGGACTTTCCCGCCAGTTCGGTCCGTCTAGGCCGCGGCATGCCCTTCGTCACAGAGCTCATCAGCAAAGTCAGGCGCGGGGCCAGAGGGAGAGAGGGAGGGAGGGAGGCTTCCTGCCTAGGCGTGCCCCGACCGATGAGAAGGCCAAGGAGCTGATTCGTCAAATTGTCCAGGCCAGGCGTGGCATTTGCGCTTCCAGTTGTACGCATTTCGAACCACGTTCGCTTTCGGCGCAGGAAAACTTCTTCTCGGCCAACTCCTTGGATGATGAGCCTCGACATGCTTGCCGCGTCTTTCGAGAGCATCGCATTTCCGTGTATTCCGTTTGCGTGCTTTTGATCAGGAAAGAGCCATGAAGCATTTGTCCAAAGTTGTCGAGTGGCCTCCTGGGCAGCACGTTGAGATCGAACCATCAAGCTGCCATGTTGCCAACACTTGCCTGGCTTGAGTTAGTGACTGGGCTCCCAGGTTCTTCGCATTGTTGATGAAGAGGCCGCCCTGGACCACTTGGACCAACGACATCTACGACGCGATGCGCTGCATTGATCACCTGCCGATCAGCTGATGCCGTGCTCAGAGCCCCACGCGCGAGCGATGCCGGCCGTGCCCCGTGCCCATCATCCCGCCCCACGAGATGCCCGAGCTCTCGCTGTGGCGAAATGACGGCGACCCCGGCGAAAAAAGATCAGGTCCGACCGTCCCACTAAAAACAGCAGCCAATGCCATGCTTGGCAGCTCACATGGCTCCGTTTGCGCGAGCGACTTGAGGCATGTGTCCAGCTGCTGGAGAAGGTTGCCACGCAAGACATGGAGGCCAGGTGTGCATGGATCTATTCGTTGAAGTCTTTGATTCTAGGATATCGTCAAGAAGGTGGAAGAGAGGACATCTCATTCGATGCACTCGAGCATTGTTTCATGCGTCTCGGGCGCACCGTTGGCTGCATGGCAGGATGGAGGATGAGGATGAGCATGTTCGAGATTCGGCGTCACTGCCCCAGGCTTCAGCAGGATGCAAGAGATATGGGCAGCTGAACTTGACAAGGGATGCAAAGGGGAAAGCGGTGAAAGCGGTGAAAGGCAACACGCAGAAGTTGTTTGAGCTCGACGGACGGCGTCATTCAACTCCTAGGTACTATGCGCTGGAGGCACTCAGCTGCATGAAATCGAAGTCGAGAAAGACTTTGAGCCTGCTTTCGCAAGCCCGTGCGATTGGCCCAAGCACGTAGCCTTGAGCGATTTGGAGTCAATTGCTACAGTCTGTTCATGGTTTTGCCGTGATCCAAAACAAACATCAACACCATTCCGAGCAGTGGAGTGAACATGTCGAATGACGCGGAAGCTGCGATGGCACAGGCTGTTTGGGTTGGGAAAGCGGAGGGAGGTGGAGTTCCTCGTGTTTGGCAGGTCGATTCGGGTGAAGCGCTCTGTCGGTGTGTATTAGAATCTGCTCTGCTGGAAAATTTGGTTTTTCGAAGTAGGCAAGATATTCGAAAGTTATCCCTGATGGAAAGCTCGATTGCCTTGCTGGCCAGGAGCGAAACAATTTCAAGGGAGCCGACCACGAGTTGCTGCTTTCCAGGGCTGAGGCAGGCTTCGAGTTCTCGATTTGAGGTGTTGCGTCCTGCCTGAGTTGCTCCAGGCAGCCGTTGGCGGCGACGACAGGACCAAGGCATCGATGTGTCCGAATCCGCCACGAGCGGATCGGATTTTTTCTGCCAGGAGGATGCCATCAGGGCAGCGGAGCAGGTTAGAAGAAGCTCCAGTGGCTACATGAAGGCAAGGGTCCGGCTGTCACGCACGGTGAGAAAGATCCTAGTGCTTCCACCGCAGGCAAGAGCTCTCCTTGCCCTGGCAGCCTTGAGAATGGATAGGCGTGAGCATGTTGTATGCCGTGCTTATGCTGTGCTTGAGCCTGAGCGCATACCTGAGCGCAAAACTCCGCGTGTGCGGAAAGATGCGGACGTGGCAGGGGCGAAGACAGCTTTACCGCGGATTTGGAGCTGGGGCTTCAGCATGCCAGAGAGGACGGGACGTCGGGACGTGCGCCTCCCACTTCGAGCTTCGAGTGCGTTGCTTTTCAGCAGGCGCGCGAGCTGGCCAAAGAGCTGAAGGACCCGAGGTTGGAGGCGGGGCTCTCGAACCGCTCGGGAAAAAGGAAGGAGAAGTTTGCCCTTCAAAGAGCAAAGCCAAAGACTTGAGCAAAAGGAGCAAAGAAAGCAAAGAGTGCCAGGGCGCCATGACTCAAAGTGTCACTCTGTCTCAGCGCCTTAGCATCGCGGATTGCAGGCCAGGTGCCTCGTGGCCATGATCGATGGTGAAGGCTGGCTGACGTCTCCAGATGATGCTATGCAAGTAGCAGACGAAGCTCTGGATCTTTGCCTGGATGTGCAGGCGGGTATGCTTGAGGCAGAAAGCAGGGTCAAACCTTCTCATTTGTTTTGACTGATTCGCAGGACAGGGCAATGGAAGCCGATACCTTGTGCCGAATGGCCGAACTTTGGGCTGCAGAGATGCTTTGGCGTGAGGCTGACAGAAACGTCACTGCTTCCTCAGGAGTGGAACGTCAAGCTGGGCGATCACTCGAGAGCCGTTTCCGACTTGGAGGATTCGCTGGAGATTTACGAGCAGCTGGAGTCGCCGCAGGAGCGGGCAAGACGTGCGAGACAAGCAAGACGTTGATCCCGTTGATCCCCGTTGATCCCCGTTGATCCCCTTGATCCCCTTGATCCCGTTGATTGTACTTCACTCTCCGCATCTTTCTGGTTTCCCGTTGGACTTTAGTTTCCTTCTGCATCTTCACTTTCCTTCCCCTTTCTTTCCTTCTCTTCTCCTTCCCTTTCCTCGTTCCTCGATTCCGACGTCCAGGAGCTGAGGGTGCTGCAGCGGCTGCTGCGGCTGCTGCAGAACCTGGACGTGCGCCAGGCCAAGCGCCGGGCCGAGGCCGCGCTGCGCCACACGGCGATGGAGAAAGGATGTGTTGGGATGTTTTTGGGATTTTTTGGGATGTTTTTTTTGATTTTTTGGATGTTTTAGGGTTTGGGGTGAGGGCGAAAAGCTGCAAGGGGACTCATTTCGAATCCCTTTTCAAGTGGCGAAGAAAGGGTTCCGCATTCGTTTCGTGTATTCCGTATGCTCGGATTCTCATGAGCTGAAGTCAGCAAGAACTAAGCTGTGTATTTGAATCAGCATTTTCACTGGCACCTGGTTTCAACCATAGTGCCAATCCAACCTGCACATCACGAAGCCATTGAACTTGTTTCAAGGTGGCAGTGGCATCATGCTTACAGCAGGGTGTTTGGCGTGGCAGGCACTCTGCTAGCAGCAAGCTCATTTGAAAGTTGAGGTAAGCAAAGCGACAAGTTGGCGCGGATCGATGCCACCAAAATGCTTGTGGAGGCGTGGCGGGTCGTTGTCAGACATGACGCGTTGAGCTCTAGTCCGGTTCGAGTCGACGGCAAGGTGCTTCTCAAGATGGGCAGCCTGCAAGAGGCCGTCTCCGCCAGCGTCGACGGCATCAACCTGTGCAAGGACAGCAAGTTTTGCGCGAGGCACACGAATGTGGCATTCCCACGGCTTTTTCTGGACCTCGATGTCCGATTTCCGAGTTCTTGGAATCCTGGCTCGGTGCGCCTAGGAGCTCGGGCGGCCGGCAGCGCAAGCGGGGCTGATGATCCAAGTGAGCCGGGGCCGTCTTCAGGCCGGTGACGCCAAGAAGGCCCGGCCGAGCCGCCCGGCCGGGCCGCCGGCAAGTCGCCAAGTTGCCCGCCCCGGCGCCTTAATGTGCGCGCTAGGCCGTGGCCGTGGGCGAGGAAGCCTGGAGGCACTGTCAAACTGGGCGCGAAGCTGCAAGATGCACGAAGATGCGAGCTGCAGTTGTGGTAGGATATTGCAGAAGATCACGGGGCCCAATGATGACAAGGCCTTGCGCATTCCTTGTGCATTCTGAGTTGTTTCATGTGTCAAGGTGCAAGCCATGCAGCTCCTGTGCGACGCCAAGCTGAGCCTCGGCGAGGCGCGATGGAATTCCGCATGTAGCGCGATTCTCAACGACGCTCGATGCAGTGCCTCTTTGCCCCGATGCCGTTGCAGGAGCAGGAGGCGCTGGAGTATGCCGAGGACTTCCGCGACCACTTCGAATCCGTGCAAGACGTGCGGTTCTCAAACCTCAAGTTGGACGTGCTGTAACTTATGTAGCTCATGTAGCTTATGCAGCTTGCGGTAAGCAGCTTAAGCGTTTAAATCATTCATGTAGAAATTAGAGATCCATGTAGAAATTTAGCACGGGTGCCGCTCCAGGCTGGGGGCCTGGCAAAGGCCTCGCTGCTGTGCGCGCAGCTGCAGCGGCTTCCTCAGAGCTGGCAGTCGTCACAGCCGTAGAGTCTTAGACGGCCAATCTGAAGTCGGCCTCCGGCTGAAGTTTGTGGCTTAGGCTTCAGCAAGATCTGGACAGCGCGCTGGACCTCGCCCTCAGAGCCGCAGATGCGTGCCGCAAGGACGGAGCTCACCCGCTTTGCTGCGATCGGAAAAGACGTCGGAGGTCGAACGCTCGGTTCGGCTGCCTCGGCACACCGCAGGGCCGGCGACGAAGGGAGGAAGCGGCGGCCGTGAAGTTGTGCAGCGAGGTGCTGTGGAAGAAGGCGGAGCACAAGGCGCTGGGTGCAAAGTGCAAGGAGAGGAGAGATGCAGCGATACTCAACACAGGGCACAAAGCAAAGCAAGGGAGTCTTGACGCAGGCAGCCATGGCACAGGCCGAGAAGGCAGGCGGGCTGACCCTTTGTTGATCCATGTGCTTGAGCCGGTTGTTGCCTTAGGCCCGGGCTCTGTTCCGAGATCTCGAGGATATGGAGGAGGAGGCATCTCACATGCGCAAACACTGCAATCACCACAATCAGTCCAATCACCGGTCTGCTTCGGCAGTTTGGCCTGCCAGATCGCCTGCTGCTACCTGGCCGCGGAGAATGCTGTACGCCTCGCCGCGCAGGAGGGTGGCCTGCCCCGAAATGTGGCGTTGAGTGGCCGCAACGAGCCACCAAGGGCAAGCTGCCAACTGAGGTGCGAGAGCAAAGTCGAACGAGCCCGCTCCGCGAGAAGCCCGCGTGGCCGGCGGCTCATTTTCAGCTCGCCAGCTTTTTACACCGAGATCTTTTCCGAGCGCCAGGCGCTGGAGAAGTCGCTGAAAGCCGCAGAGGCACGGAGTAGAGCCGAGCCTCGTGTCCGTGTCACTCCGGGCCTCCGGGGCCTCCGGGCCTCCGGGCCTCGTGAGGCCGGGCTGAAGATGACCCGCATCGCCTCCTTGATGCGGGCGCCGGAGCTGCATGGCCAGCTTCTGTGCGCCAAGGCCCAGGCAGGCGGATGGGTCGCTTTGATATTAGATCCAGCGGATCAGAGGAAGTGAAAATGGATTTGGGGAGATGCCGAGGATGTTGACAAGGATGGGGTGGTTGGGATTGAGGGGACTTGCTAGGGATGCCATGACATGATGACATGTTGTAGTTTATTGGGGATGCTGGGGGTACGATGCAGATGAGGGGTCTCCTGAAACGCGACACGAAGGAAGCGCCCGACAAGGCACGGGAAGCCACAGCGTCGCGTTGATGGGGAGGACATACGTCAAACAGCGGCGAGAAACCGGGCAAATAATCGTTCCATCTAAAATTATTCTTTACATGTAATAGCTGCAATAACTTTTCTTTCTTATCAATTATCTTTGTATTTGGACATTTTTTACTTTCTTATCTTTGTCATAGCATTTCTGTATCCTAAGGACTGGCCTGTTGACGCTGGACATATCTCCAGATTTATTAGTTCTTGAGTTTTCAAAAGTTGTACTCCACAGAGTTCGTCCGGAGTCACCAGTGAAGGAAATAATATGGTCTTCTTGTTATCTCCGGGACGGGTTACACAGTTTATTCTGGTTGAGTTTGTGATGTTGAAGATAGAAAGGCTTGTATTATTTGTCTCTTTAATATCTTTCACCTATTCATCTATTTGTATCTTCTTCCAATTAATTCTCTATCTGTAGAAGCCTTTATTATTAACAGAATTCATGTTAGAGATGTCGGGCATTCTTTTGTTGTGTGGTGTGAACCGTGCAATGCTGGGTGTGGCATGTTCAGTTTGCCCTCTTTTATTTAAATTGACTTTGAATCTACGTTTGGCAGCCCAACTGCATGGCATCAAAGCTTTGCAGGCGTTGACCGTCCAGGGGCGCTTCGAGGCGGCACTGACCTGCCTGGATGAGGCTGTCCAATGCCCAGCTTTCAAGCTTTTCTCTCACATCTTTTCACCCTTGGTCAAAATTCTTTTTAATTCGTGCAAGCTTCCCTGAGCTTCATTTGGAATGTGAGCCTTCCGAATTCTCCATTTAGGGTGACAGAGGTGCGTGCACAGCCCTCAGGTCCTGCGCTTCCGGGAGTTGGGGGACTATCAGCTCGAGGCGAGTGGCACGCTTGGCCGGCCGAAAGATCTGCATTGCCCTCGAACTCGTAAGCTCAAGCTGGAGGGATTCTCATGTCGCTTGGAAGGCATTGCATGAGGCTGGTGAGGTTGTAGGGGCTTGGTGCATGCAACCACCCTGCTCGTGCTCGGGATATGCATGCCTAGCTATTGCAACCTGGCATGGTTGAGCACATGGAGGGAATATTTGTTTAATTGCATGTCCAGGGCTTAGGGTTTGGGATGCATGTGCAGTCGATGTTCGAGGATTTGGGATTCCAGATCCTACTTCCATGGCTTCGTGATTGAAGTGCAATCTTGGGATTAGGTGCCCCTTCGGAATGTAGGAAGGAAACGGCCGTCTAGGCGCCTTGGAGCAGATTTTTGTCAGGGAATAGAGGGGAAGTACTTGGCGCTGTTTGTGTACCTTCGTGAAAGACAGCTTAGCTAGAAAGTGAGCGACGTTGTTGCTTAGCCGAAAGATTCGCATTGGATATGGGGGCATTCAACGGATTGTCAGATGCAGGTTTGGATTCGGAAGTCGTGTTTTGGGGCTCCAAACCTAGCTTGGCCGCACGGGCCGCAAGTCACCGTAGAGCTGCGCCAAATTTGGGCCGGTTAGCCTAACCCCGTTCACTTTGACGGAAACGCCATTGCAATAACATTGCACAGAGGGTCAGGGAAAGAAGTGGCATTGCATCCAGACACCACACATAATGTGATTTTGGGTGACACCTGGCTTTCTATTTCCAGACTGGATGCTTGGAACAGTGCCCTGAGGCCAATGGGCTCATGCTAGCATCTGACAATTTGAGAGTCGGCCACTCAGACCGGATGCCACTCAGCTGCCGGCTTTTGCACATCTTTCTGATGGGACCTGATTCTCTGAGTTCCTCAAGCGCCTCCCGGAGGCGGTAGAGGCGGAGAGAGTGTCTGCCTTGAGGGACTGGTAGTTTTTCCCTCACGAAAGACGCAACGGCTTTTGCCTCGCTTTTGCCAGGCCCTAGAGGAGGGGCTGCTGCTCTACCAGCACTGCAGCGCCCCTCGTCGCAATGTCGCAATGTCGCATGGGGCAGCGGGGAGTGCCTGGCGTTTGCGCAGGACGAGGAAGGCGAGCAGCGGGCGCAAGAGGTGGGGCTTGAGGATGGTTCATATTTTGCAGCTGCATGTCGCGCATGTCGCGCATGTTGCGCATGTTGGTCATGTTGAGCATGTTGCGCATGCGCTCAGATGCTGAAGCAGCTGCGGGCGCCGACGGCTAGGCACGAAGACAAGAGAGCCCCTCGAGAGGCGACCTTTGTGGCCAAATTCAACTCTCAGGCCTCAGCCAGCACCAGATGCCAAGCCGGAGGTGGCGCCGGGCATTCCTGTGCGCGGGCCTTGGCACACGGAGTTGCTAGCATCCCCATGCCAGCCAGAATAAGCCGGTTTGGCCGTCAATATGAGTCAAGATATGAGAATTGTCAGCTGGGAGTGCTCGTTCGAGGTGGCAGCAGGCAGCCGAAGTGGTGCCAGAGGCCGTCAAGTGACCCTTGCGTCTGTGCCGCCTTTCCAGCGCGCTTCGCGGCGCAGGCCGCGGCCACTGCGGTGAGGCCCAGCCTCCCGTCCGGGCCCGGCCGCCCGGGAGACGGGTCCAGTCCGGAAGTCCAAAGTCAGGAGAGTCAGGAGAGAAAAGAGGGGAGAGGAGAGGGAGGTGAGCGAAAGAGAGAGGACAGGAAGGAGAAGGGAGTGGTGGAGTGGTTGAGTGGTTGAGTGGTTGAGAAGACTTCTGTCTGAGTGAGTTGGTTCCCAAGGCCTGCGCTGGACATGGCGCGCGTGACGCCGGAGCTGGTCATGGCCAAGGCGCATGCATGTGACGTCTGCGATGCACCGACCCGAGAGACTGCATCGTGCAGCGCGAGGTTCGCGAAGTGGCCGCGGCCGTCACGGGAACAGAGAATGATGAGATCCACCTCGAAACGCCACTCATGGAGGCACGATATTGCAATATCGGCACTCAGAGAGCTCTCTATTGCACAGGTGACTTGCTTTGCTTGTGCCGAGATTGCTCAAGAGTTTCAGCGTTTGCTGTGCGCGCAGGCTGGAATGACCAGTCAGGCGGCAGTAATGATGCGAGACCAGTTGAGCAAGGCACGCTGTTTTGAAAAGGGTTGCAGTTGTACCTGGGGCGAACTCAACACGTCCCAGAGCACCAGAGCACCGATGGGCGGAACAATGGGATGCTGTGCTTTGCCACACTTGAGCTGGAGGGCTCCCCTATGTGCCAAGAATCTGACTCCAGTACCTCATCCATCTGAACATGAACTTTGCTCAATTACAGGAATGCGTTTGACTGTTTCGGCCAGAAAGTGAGCTGAAACTTCATTCCCTTTTGCTAAACTCCTCCACGTTTAGCTGCCAGGACCTGCCGGGCATTAGGCTACCTGCGACACTTGTCCGGATCTCAGAAGAAATTCTTGTGACGTTGCAACGAAGCCACGTTTGGCAGGTCTTCGACTACCCGTCTATCACCGAAATGCGGGGGGCAGGTTGGGCTTAAGGGTGGGAACTCTGACGAGCCGCAGGTCGGAGATGATTGTGGTGGCCACCAACGCGCAGGCGCTGAAGAACTGAGATCGGCAGGCTGTCCGGATCGGCCTTTCGGCCGTTCGGTCTTGGCTTCAGCTGACGGAGATGACCCTGCAACAGCTGTATAGCACTGGTACAACGAACTTGGCCAGTGAGGCAGCCTGCTGAAGACGTAGCTAGTGACAGTTTGGGCCCGGCCAATTGGTCGAGAAGCCGGACTTGTCCAGAGTTGTAGCGAGCGCGGCGCCACTGCATGAGTCAAAAATGTCCAAGCAGCTCATCCCATGCCACGTGTGGCACGACGCTTGCGGCAGGCCATCAAAGCCAGCCCTCCTGGGCGTCGACGGCAGCGCCCTGAGGGGGAAGCCATGGAGGTCATTCCAAGCCCTGCGTCGAGGTGGAAGTCAGATCTGCCTGATTTGGGCGACTTGGATCGTATCGGGCACGGTTCTCAGAGCACTCAGACGGCGAAGGCGCTTCCTACGGCAGTCAGGTTGGACTCTTCTGATGAAGAGGATGAGAAGAGCGACCATTGGTGAGGGCGCCTGCGCTGCAGCCGAACGGTGCAAAAGTGCTGTCAGGGTTGCACGGAATTTCAGCTGTTTGAGGGGAGTTGCATCTCATGAAGGTGCATAGAAGCTGGAGATGCGTCGCTGCGGTTTGCCTGTTCATGGTTTGGCCTGGTAGTCGGCGGATGAATCACCAAGCAACCTGGAGCTTTTGGCTGGTCTCGTTCCTCGGTTTTTGTTGCTTGCTGTTTGAATGGATACTTGCTTTGCTGCTGTGAACCTAAGCTTTGCTATTGGTCGAAGGAGAAGACCACTTTCGGGCAAGCCAGAGTTCTCGACCAGTAGCTCCCACTGCAAAATGCGATGTGGCCCGAATTGTTGGATTTTCCTTGTACCGTAGTGAAAGGTATGGGGTTGGGAAGCTCCACTCCGACAAATGAGCCCGACAGGGGGCCTTTGCCTGCCGGGCGCTTTTTGGGCTTCGGGTCGCCTGGCGAGTTTGTGGCTTTTGCCGTTGTCAAGTCCACGCCTTGCTTGGAGGCCACCGCAGTTCTGCTCTTCGTTCTCGGCATTCTCGATGCCGTCGGCCGATCCTTGTGGTACTTGCACCTTCCAGATCTGGGCCCAGTGGCCTACATCTGTGGCATGCCGTTGAACTGTAGCCTTCCTTTTCTGTTTTTCCTTTGATGCAGCTGCCATAGCTCTTAAAGCTGCTGTAGCCTTTGCCATTTCCTTTGTTGCATCCTTGTTTGCCTTGACCCTTTCCTTTGCAGTTTCCTTTCTCTTGTCCTGTGCCTTTGTAGTTGTTTCCTTTCCTCCAAATTTGCCTTCGTCCATGGGCGCGTGTCCTCCGTAGTTGCTTCCAACTGCTGACCATGAGAATGCAGAGATGGTCTTGCAGTAGTCCAGGAAAACTGCTCTGATCTCGACGTAGTTGGTGTCTGTGTCAGCGCGGAGTTGAAGATGAGCGATGTTGTTGTAAGGCTCCTTCGGTCTTGTTGAGTATTGTTGAGTAGTGCTGCGATCTTGGCTCCATCAGGTAGTGCGGTCCTTCTCGTTCCGGTTGATTTTGCATTCCCACTGGAAGAACTTTTTCTCCAACTGGTGGGCTTTGCCCAAGCTGCCCTGACACGGAAAGGAGGCTGACTAAGGCTGGCAATGCCGAGCTGTGGCCTACGCCGAACATCTCAGAACAGCCCGGCTGCCTTCGCAATGTCCGGCAATGTCCAACATGTTCCGAAAGCTCAGCTCGCCTCCCGGAGCTTCAAAATGTCGCGCTTGGCCTAGAAATTCGCGCTTTGTGTCTTACGTGCGCGGCATGTTCAGCTGAAAGCGACGGGGTCGCAGCCCAGATAGGCTCTGCGGTGGTCCGGGGGTCGCTCCGAGGGAAGGTTCTGCAGGGTTCCGCGAAGGGTTCCAGGAGAGTTCCGGGTTTCCCGATCGAGTGTTCCGGACGGGGCGGTTCATGGTGGCTCCGTGAGGGTTACACGAGCGTTCCGGCGACGCAAACGGTTCCGAAGAGGGTTTCACGAGGGCGGGCGGGGTGCTGTTGGGGATATCACCTTCCTTCTCTCTGGATTCATCTGGCATCGAAAAGGAAGGGTCCGTTCAAAGCCAATCGCGACGGATGGAAATGAGCAACACATTTTGTTGCACATGCTGGATTATGATATGCCGGCTGGCATTCTTGCCATTTCAGTTTGTGAGCTTTCAATCAACGGACTTTTGCGCGCCAGCGCTTAGCTCAAAGTGAAGCAAAACATAGGGTTGAGTCAGCCGCCAGTTTTTCCAGCGCGCCAAATCACAGGCCCCAACTCTTGCATGAACACTTTTTTCGCCCTAGCTGCAGCCTCCTTGCTCGCACCATGCGCGGCCTAGCCTGGCCAACGATTGCCAGGCGGTTTTGCCAGAGCCATGCCCGCTGTTTGGGCCTTGTCTGGCTGTTTGCGCGCAAGGCTCCAGCTGCCAAGGCCCTCCCGATTGGCCAGGCGGTTTTGCAGCCCTGCAGAGAAGTCCGCAGCAGAGAAGGCCAAAGAGAGCCAGCAGCTTTGGAACACTTTCGTGCCTTGGAAGGCATCGGGTTGAACCGTTTTGCGAGACATGTTTTCTTTTGACGTCTTGCTAGCGCCTAGGTGCCAGAACAGAACTGGGACTTCAGGGCTGAGGGCCCAGTCTTGAGAAAAAAGTGGAGTTAGTTGGGCTGCGTAAGTTCTGTGGGCTGTATTGGCCGTATGCCTCCGCGCTCAGAGCCCGCTGCTCCCCACGCTGGTCCTGGGAATCGTTGTTCTGCAGTACCTCATCAGGCCGGGCTCGTGAAGCTCGGTCGTGTCGTGTCGATTTGTCCACTGCTTTCCCTGCCAGTCAGAAGAAAGCAGATGTGGCAGAGCATGCCCGGCATGTTTGGCTTGGGCAAGTCGTGTCGCTTGGCACTTCAGTGTGATGTTTTCCCGCACAACCCAAGGCCAAACCCAACGCAAGGATTGCTAGACGTGAGTTCGGTGACAAGACGCCAATGCCTTATCTTATAAGTTATAAAGCTCCTTACAAGGCTCCTTAACAAAGCTCCTTAGCAAAATGTACAAAAAGTGTCAAAGTGGGATTGAGCGTTTCTCAACTTGGCAACTTGGCAACTTCCTGCCCAACTTGCCAGGAAGGAATTGGAGGAGGCGAAGCTCCTCATGGAAGAGCGCCGGGCGGCGTCCTCGCTTCCTTCCTCTCGTGCGCAGCGAGCCCAGCGGGAGATCTGAAGATCTCCAAGGCCAGGCGAGCCCGGCGGGAGACTGAAGCGGAGTGAAATGTGCCCTTTGGCCGCTTGGGGAAGCGGGCTGGTCACTTGAAGGGGTGCTCGGCGTGCAAATGCATTGCTCGCTGTCTGGCTGGAAGCGCTTAGAATCATAGAGTATGAAGACGCAGACTGCAAGCTGCAGATGAAACAAGAACATGGATAATATTGCCGGGCCTTGTTGGGCATTGACACATCCAGCAAAGCTCGTCTTTGGCTCCTGGACCTTCGCAAGACGTTCATTTCCATTTCCAATGCTGGCAGCTCATGGAGAAGCATGGGGCTGCAGTCCACTCAGACGATCACTCGACTCAATTACTCGATCCTTGTCGTTTGAACGTCTTGCCTTTGAAGGAGACTCGGGCTTTGCGCTTTGCACCTCTGTGCAGGTGTGGGTCATGCTCCGGTTTGCCCTGCTTTTCTGTAGCGTGCCGAGCTCAGCCGACAACACAATTGCAAGATCTAGTCCAAAAACAATTGCTGATTCTACATGCTAGTTTCAAGTCTCAGGACAGCCACTCTGCACCACCCTTTTTTCCTTAGTGTTTGCACGGAAAGTGGTGCTTGCACGTGGACGATGTGTATGCCCTTTCAGTGCCTGCAGCATCCGCAAGAGTACACATTCTCCCTGACGGCTTCTGCTTTCCAGAAACTTGACATGAACACCTTTTGATTTCTCCATGACCTTGTTGCCAACTAGCCTTCCGCTCTGGGTTCATTTGAACGGAAGCCTGCTCTGCAACGGCGCAGAGTCCCTTCGGATGTCGCTCAACTCCAGAGCTTGATGCATTTCACCCATGTTCAGCAGCCAACAAATCGGCTGTCTGAAGTTCAAAGGAGGGGCCAATGGCTTGTCTTGGCGCCCAGGTGGTTGGCTCTTGCTGGCTTTTGCGAGCAGCCTGGAAGCCATGCTATCTTTTTACCCGCCGCTTGGCTCGACAGTCTCAACAGTGACACGCATTTATGGAGGGCCATGCCCTGAAATCGCACAGGTCAGCTGAGACACCTGGCGATTGCTGATTTGGGACTTGCCTTGGCAGCCCCAAACTCATTGCCAGAGCTGAATTGATTCACTTCTGCGCTTTCTAGGCTGAAAAAGCCTTCGGCTAGTTACGAGAGTTCCAGCCGAGGCTCCTGGCTGCGAGTCCCGCACTCAGAGTTCACAGAGCCCGCGTCCCGCGTCTTGCGTCCCGCCCTGCCGAGGTTGGGCCTGATGATTTGGGCTCAATGCGGCCTGCCAGATCTCAGTCTTTTTAGCCGAGCGCCTAGCGTGAGCTTTGGGCTCCGGGCTTACTTCGCTGTGTCGGTGTGCATTTTCTCTTCCAATCAAACTCTTTCTCCCTCCGACCCGGGCTTCGTTTCTCAGGCCGGTGCCTCTTCCGCAGCTTCCTCTGCGCAGGCACGCTGGTGGAGACGCAGATCGCGGCCGGGGTGATGTGCAGCGCCCTGCGCTGGCAGTCCTTCCGCGCCCTGGCCGGGGCACCCAGCGAGATGCCGAAGAGAGACGCCAAGAGTGGTTCGCAAAAGAGGCAAGTCGAGAAAGAAAATGAAATTTAAGGAAATGCGGATCGGTTTTTCTTTTTTGTGGACGCGTCGCGAGGCACGGCTCCTGCCCTTCACCTGGTTCTTTGCGGCCCTCGTTGGGGTCCGGGCCTTGGCGCCTGTCTCCTCTCTCGAAACTGGGTACTGCATGGCTCCCGGCAGACAGGCCGGCGACGCCTGTTCCATGAGAGGCAGGGTCAAAAGGTGAAAAGGAAGGCTCGGACCAGCCGTCAACCCGTCAACCCGTGCTCAGGCTCAGGTCATTTCAGCGACGACGGCTTTGCCAAGGTGATCGCACTGGCCACTTTCTTGGTGAAAAGGGTCAACTCCCTTTCGAGCCACAGTGCATTGTGGAGTTTTCGCCAAAGTTGTGCCGTGGTCCCAACGGTTCTTGAGGTCATGTGCGTGAATTTCCTGCTTGCGCACCTTCCTTAATCAGTCGCGTGTTGCCGTGTTGCGGTTCTTTCACCCCGCTTCGAATTTTGAGCTCGCCTCGAAGTTGTTGATTTTTGTGGTTTGATGGGCTGAGGCTTTTGATGTACGTGACTTCCATCGTGGCAGTGCTGTGGACCCCTGCGCCCAGCGCAGTGGTGAGGCACGGCAGCCGATGTCTCCGTGTCAATCCGAGCCGAGTCGAGTCAACCCGTTTCTCCGATGCCAAGGCGCGCATCTTGGCGAGCTTTGGCCTTCCCCTGTGGCTTCATGGTCACGGCGAGACCCAGAAAGACCGAGGGAGACAGAGGGAGACAGAGGGAGAGCTGGGAAAGAAAGTTCACGGATGTTTCCACGGGTCTTGGCCTATCGCAGCAATCCTGCAGGGCTTTCCTCAGATGCTGCTGTACATTGGCGTGTTTCCGCAACACGGTTGGCCATCCACTTAGCTGCGCCTTGAGAGTTGCGCAGTGGGCCCCGTGGGCATGCACATCGCTTGGGCGCTTCAGATCACTTCTCGCTTCCCTTGGCTTCCAAAGGTTCCGGCACTTTGCCACCCTTGCAGTTTACAGCAATGGCCCGAGCACCTAGCCGCCATAGCCACGGCCCTCTCGCAGCCTCGGAAAGTGCCATTCCGTTGCACTTGGCAGGTTGGATCAATGCAGCTGTGTATAGCTGGCAGAACCGACACCTCTGTGGTGGCATCCTCATTTTCGCCCAGAGACTTCTGTCTTGCCGGGTTGCCGGGTTGCCGTGTCGCCGCGAGGTGCGGGCATTGCCAGGCGCGGGCATTGCCAGTGTTGCCACGTCCCAGTATTGATCGGCTCAGGCGAGCCGAGCAGAACAGTCTGCGGCTCAGCGACTGAGCATGACATTTTGGCATCATGCTCACGGCGTTTTGATGCATTTTGATGAGTCGCCGTGCGGATCTCGCAGGCTGCTCGTTGGCGCCGTCTTTCCACGTGGGCTTTGGCCGCGAGTCCAGGCTCTTCCCACAAGCAGCCGCCTGCCTGAACACGGCCCGAACGGCGATGCCGCGTCGTGACGATCAGAGACTCCGTGTTTGAAACTTCTTGCAATCCTCTGTGTCCTTTTGAGGCCCTACGGGATAGTTCCCTCAGATTTTGCTTCTCAAGTTCCTTCCGTCTGCCTTTGACCTTTGATTGCTTCATTCCTGCTTGGGTCCTGTCCTCTTCAAATTTGCTCTATCCCTCGCCGTTTACATTTTGAGCAACAGGCTTGGGTGCCGCCAGGCCTGCGTGGCTAGTGCATTTCACCCAGGCGAACAAAAAGACTCTCGGTTGGTGCCCGAAGGGCTCGAGTTTTCACCAGGTGTTTGGGTGAACAGAAACGGAAACACCCCCCCCCCCCGTAAGAGGGTAGAGTATGTATAATGTGTCGCGGGACCCTTTCCTGCATATATAGCGCAATTTCAGGCCCAATGCTGCTTAAATAAATCTTTTAAATATTTTAAATATTTTAAATCCCCGGGTCCTGATTTCTGGAGCTGGGGCCGATTTAAAATTTTAAATATTTTAAATAGTTTAAATCCCCGGGTCCCTGATTGAAAATATTTAAACTGATTTGGGGCCTAAATATTGTAAATATTTTAGATATTTTAAATCCCCGGGTCCTGATTTCTGGAGCTGGGGCCGATTTAAAATTTTAAATAATTTAAATATTTTAAATATTTTAAATATTTTAAATCTCCGGGCCCCGATTTAAAATATTTAAAATATTTAAGCTGATTTGGGGCCTAAATATTCTAAATATTTTAAATATTTTAAATCCCCGGGTCCTGATTTCTGGAGCTGGGGCCGATTTAAAATTTTAAATAATTTAAATATATTAAATATTTTAAATCCCCGGGCCCCGATTTAAAATGTTTAGACTATTTAAGCTGATTTGGGGCCTAAATATTTTAAATATTTTAAATCCCCTGGCCCCGATTTAAAGTATTTAAAATATTTAAAATAATTAAAATATTTAAAATTTTAAATCGGGCTCAGATCCTGGGTTCCCGGGATTTGAAATATTTAAAATATTTAAGCTGATTTGGGGCCTAAATATTCTAAATATTTTAAATATTTTAAATCCCCGGGCCGCGATTTAAAATATTTAAAATATTTAAGCTGATTTGGGGCCTAAATATTTTAAATATTTTAAATATGTTAAATCCCCGGGTCCTGATTTCTGGAGCTGGGGCCGATTTAAAATTTTAAATATTTTAAATATTTTAAATATTTTAAATATTTTAAATCCCAGGGCCCCCGATTTAAAATATTTAAAATATTTAAACTGATTTGGGGCCTAATTTTTTTAAATATTTTAAATCCCCGGGCCCCGATTTAAAATATTTAAAATATTTAAGCTGATTTGGGGCCTAAATATTCTAAATATTGTAAATGTTTTAAATCCCAGGGCCCCGATTTAAAATATTTAAATTATTTAAGCTGATTTGGGGCCTAAATATTTTAAATATTTTAAATATTTTAAATCCCCGGGCCCCGATTTAAAATATTTAAAATATTTAAGCTGACCTGGGGCCTAAATATTTTAAATATTTTAAATATTTTAAATCCCCGGGTCCTGATTTCTGGAGCTGGGGCCGATTTAAAATTTTAAATAATTTTAATATTTTAAATATTTTAAATATTTTAAATCCCCGGGCCCCCGATTTAAAATATTGAAAATATTTAAACTGATTTGGGGCCTGAATACTTTAAATATTTTAAATATTTTAAATCCCTGGGCCCCGATTTAAAATATTTAAAATATTTAAGCTGATTTGGGGCCTAAATATTTTAAATATTTTAAATATTTTAAATCCCCGGGCCCCGATTTAAAATATTTAAAATATTTAAAATAATTAAAATATTTAAAATTTTAAATCGGGCTCAGATCCTGGGTTCCCGGGATTTGAAATATTTAAAATATTTAAGCTGATTTGGGGCCTAAATATTCTAAATATTTTAAATATTTTAAATCCCCGGGCCGCGATTTAAAATATTTAAAATATTTAAGCTGATTTGGGGCCTAAATATTTTAAATATTTTAAATATTTTAAATATTTTAAATCCCCGGGTCCTGATTTCTGGAGCTGGGGCCGATTTAAAATTTTAAATAATTTAAATATTTTAAATATTTTAAATATTTTAAATGCCCGGGCCCCCGATTTAAAATATTTAAAATATTTAAACTGATTTGGGGCCTAAATATTTTAAATATTTTAAGTATTTTAAATCCCTGGGCCCCGATTTAAAATATTTAAAATATTTAAGCTGATTTGGGGCCTAAACATTTTAAATATTTTAAATATTTTAAATCCCCGGGCCCCGATTTAAAATATTTGAAATATTTAAAATATTTAAAATATTTAAAATGTTAAATCGGGCTCAGATCCTGGGTTCCCGGGATTTGAAATATTTAAAATATTTAAGCTGATTTGGGGCCTAAATATTCTAAATATTTTAAATCCCCGGGTCCTGATTTCTGGAGCTGGGGCCGATTTAAAATATTAAATAATTTAAATATTTTAAATATTTTAAATATTTTAAATCCCCGGGCCCCCGATTTAAAATATTTAAAATATTTAAACTGATTTGGGGCCTGAATACTTTAAATATTTTAAATATTTTAAATCCCTGGGCCCCGATTTAAAATATTTAAAATATTTAAGCTGATTTGGGGCCTAAATATTTTAAAATATTCTTAAATCCCCGGGCCCCGATTTAAAATATTTAAAATATTTAAAATAATTGAAATATTTAAAATTTTAAATCGGGCTCAGATCCTGGGTTCCCGGGATTTGAAATATTTAAAATATTTAAGCTGATTTGGGGCCTAAATATTCTAAATATTTTAAATATTTTAAATCCCCGGGCCGCGATTTAAAATATTTAAAATATTTAAGCTGATTTGGGGCCTAAATATTTTAAATATTTTAAATATTTTAAATCCCCGGGTCCTGATTTCTGGAGCTGGGGCCGATTTAAAATTTTAAATAATTTAAATATTTTAAATATTTTAAATATTTTAAATCCCCGGGCCCCCGATTTAAAATATTTAAAATATTTAAACTGATTTGGGGCCTAAATATTTTAAATATTTTAAATATTTTAAATCCCTGGGCCCCGATTTAAAATATTTAAAATATTTAAGCTGATTTGGGGCCTAAACATTTTAAATATTTTAAATATGTTAAATCCCCGGGCCCCGATTTAAAATATTTAAAATATTTAAAATATTTAAAATATTTAAAATTTTAAATCGGGCTCAGATCCTGGGTTCCCGGGATTTGAAATATTTAAAATATTTAAGCTGATTTGGGGCCTAAATATTCTAAATATTTTAAATATTTTAAATTCCCGGGCCCCGATTTAAAATATTTAAAATATTTAAGCTGATATGGGGCCTAAATATTTTAAATATTTTAAATGTTTTAAATCCCCGGGTCCTGATTTCTGGAGCTGGGGCCGATTTAAGATTTTCAACAATTTAAATATTTTAAATATTTTAAATATTTTAAATCCCCGGGCCCCCGATTTAAAATATTTAAAATATTTAAACTGATTCGGGGCCTAAATATTTTGAAATATTTTAAATATTTTAAATCCCCTGGCCCCGATTTAAAATATTTAAAATATTTAAAATAATTAAAATAATTAAAATATTTAAAATTTTAAATCGGGCTCAGATCCTGTGTTCCCGGGATTTGACATATTCAAAATATTTAAGCTGATTTGGGGCCTAACTATTCTATATATTTTAAATCCCCGGGCCCCCGATTTAACATATTGAAAATATTTACGCTGATTTGGGGCCTAAATATTCTAAATATTTTAAATCCCCGGGCCCCGATTTAAAATATTTAAAATATTTAAGCTGATTTGGGGCCTAAATATTTTTAAATATTTAAAATATTTTAAATCCCCTGGCCCCGATTTAAAATATTTAAAATATTCAAAATAATTAAAATATTTAAAATTTTAAATCGGGCTCAGATCCTGGGTTCCCGGGAATTGAAATATTTAAAATATTTAAGCTGATTTGGGGCCTAAATATTCTAAATATTGTAAATATTTTAAATCCCCGGGCCCCGATTTAAAATATTTAAAATATTTAAGCTGATATGGGGCCTAAATATTTTAAATATTTTAAATGTTTTAAATCCCCGGGCCCCGATTGAAAAATATTTGAAATATTTAAGCTGATTTGGGGCCTACATGTTTTAAATTTTAAATATTTTAAATCCCCGGGCCCCGATTTAAACTATTTAAAATATTTAAGCTGATTTGGGGCCTAAATATTTTATTTTTTTAAAAATATTTTAAATCCCCGGGCCCCGATTTAAAATACTTAAAATATTTATGCTGATTTGGGGCCTAAATATTTTAAATATGTTAAATCCCCGGGTCCCCGATTTAAAATACTTAAAATATTTAAGCTGATTTGGAAGACACTTAGAAAACTCGAGGGCCTTGTTTTCCTTTTTTTTCTTTCTATTGTTCCTAATTAATTTTGAAAAATTTAGAAGAAATAGGAAACCAATTGGGGCCCAGGATTGCGGGAAGTGGGTCCGGAGCTACAGGAAATATAAAAAAACAATTTAAAAAACAAGTCCCTCGAATTTATATTTTGTCTATTTGCTAATTTTCCTAATTAATTAGAAAACATAGAAAATAGAAAAAAAGAAAGGCCCTCGAATTTTCTATTTGTTCTAAGTTTCAAAATTAGTTAGAAAAAATAGAACAAATAGAAAAACAAAAGGGGTCCAGGATTTCGGGAAGTGGGCCCGGGACTACAGGAATTAGAAAAAGTAGAACAAATGCCCTGGAATTTTCTATGTCTTAGAAAAATCAGAAAAAGAAATGGACAACAAGGCCCTCGAATTTTCTATGTTTGTTAATTTTCCTAATTAATTAGAAACAATTAAAACAATTAGAAACAAGGCCCTCGAACTTTCCAGTTTTTCTAATTTTCCTATTTAATTAGAACAATA